TGCCTCTAGTGGCCGTTAGAGGAACTGCAGCTTGTGTAACTTCCATGTTGGCTCCACTTGCTTCCACAGAGGTTGCAGCTTGGTTACAATCTTCCATCCCATTATTGGCAGATTCAGCCAGTAGTATTTGCACATTGTCACTTCATTCTGCTGCTTGACTTCAGGCAGCAATGATCATTATGAAATGAACATTAGCCACAGAAGAGGAACAGATTTTGCAATCAGTACTGGCGGGTGAGACGATGTCATAATTGTGTATTTAGAGTGAAGTATTTCTTACTCCTTACTCCATCCACTCATGGAAATTGGACAATTATGTCTTCGCCATCCTAGGAAGGGGGAAAAATCATCTCAAAGGACACTGAACGCTGAATGATGTGGACTGAAGTATTCTTTGTATACCTGCGTAAACCCGACACTACACTGGCTCACGTTTATGTGAAGCTGACCAATCAGAGCAGACATGGCTCTTCTTTAGGGGTGGGCCTTCAGGGGCCAGTCCTGCAGCCATGTTGCAGCCAGTATGAGAACAACAACATGTTGTTTGACCATTAAAGGATGGAAATGTTTTAATGCAGACCCCCAGAAATACAAGTATAACCTGAAAATAGATCTTAATATGACCTCTTTAAAGCTCCATGTCCTCTCTTCCAGCTACCAACAAGGCGGGTGTCATAGCTGGGGCGGTGATTGGCGCCCTCCTGCTGCTGCTCCTCCTCCTGCTTCTCATCTGGCTCCTGATCTGCTGCTGTCACAAGCGCCGCTACGAGAAAGAGGTCGAAAATGAAATCAGGTACCGTATCTGAGCTGGAAACAATTTTTAAAAAACAGCCGGTAAAATGATGTAAAACCCGTGGATGATGTGACTGCTGTTGTTGTTTCCTCAGGGAGGACGTTCAGGCCCCGGAGAGCAAACCCAACAGCAGGAACTCCAGTTTCCGCTCGGTGATGGGGTACCGCACACACCCCGGCGTGCAATACAGCTCCGTGAGGAACAACCAGCCCATACGCAGCGAATCAGGCCGCAGCAGCGTCTTCATCGGCGGGACTAACGGCACATCGATGCCCAGTGGCAGCCCTGCTCCCCTCAAATACGACCATCGATACGGATACCCCGTCTAACTGCAACTGCCTGATAGTCTTTTGTATAAAATGAAGCCTTTCAGAAGAAAATACTGTTTTTAAAGAATAGGCTATGTAAAGTATGTACATGAGAAATCGTGCAATGCAATATATTTAACTGGAGGATACTAGGAGAGCTGGTATACAACTACTGGGAACTCTTGGACAACTCTTGAACTTTTATAATGCACTAGGAATAAGGCTCTCACAGTCCAACTCATTATTACACTGATTTAGCTAAAACTGTGTGTGAAATGTGTGTGTATATATATATATTAAAAAAGATGTATTTTTATTGGTGCTTTTTTTTCTCCTATGATGTGTATATATAGCTCAATCAATGTATTACTTTTTAAAAGTACAATAAAACATTTTTTTAACTGGTAAGTCAGTGAGGAGATTTAAATCCAATTTTTGTGCCTCGGCTGCATCTTTAATTGTTTGATGATATCTGTGCTAACGAAACACAGTAGAATAACATTTGAAACATCCCTCGCACTCGCTGTTTAACAGTTATCTCTCTGAAAATAGATAAAACTTAATTGAATAAGTTGTACTTTGGCATCGTAATGGAATCAGACGTATTGTTTTGACATGCAGAATTAGGTACGACTATAGAAAAACAGTCCAATTATGTAAACGGTTAGGGGGTCAAACACAACTTTATTACGTGTAGGAGTTTAGAGAGTGCGTTCAGACTGAAGATGGTACAAAAAGTGGGGGTTGAAATTCTGATTTGGTGCATAAACATGGTCAGTACAATCTGTCATTTCATAGCCGGCTGATTAGATTCGGGGCTGTAACTGGATCAATATGAATTCAAACTTTGAGTCAGACAAGTGGGAGACAGTGAAGTCAATTTTGCCTCCTGGAAAATTTTTCATTTGCAGAACAAAGCGCTGCAAAATTGCCTTGTTTGTGTTTGTGTGTTTCTCCGATTTTTGCCAAGCAGCCAGCGAACTAGTAATTAATGTAACAGCTAGTAGAGGCTCTAACCTGCAGCTGCCACACTCAGAATCCAGACTCAGCACTGAGCCCACGGCTTCACCTCACGTCTGTATCGGCCTGATCCCATCTTCAAAAGGTGTGTGTCGAATTAATAAGAGCTGCAAGAAGTGGTGAGTGTTGGTGGGCCCTTGGTAATACGCTCCACCGAGGCCCCCCTTAAAGGTCCAGTGTGTAACGTTTAGGAGTATGTATTTGCAGAAATGTAATATAATATTCATAGGTATGGTTTTTTTAAGCGGTTTTTATCTAGACTATAAAAAACAAATGTTCTGGCTCCACAGTTTGCATTAATCTTTTGGAGTTATGGCAACTTCTAATTAAATTATGTTCTACAAATGTGCTATAAGCTTTTCTTCTAGTTTTTAATTTGATTAGTTGACTTTTTCCACATTCAACTCATCAGAATAATGTTTGCAACTTAAACGTTTTATCTAAATCAATAAATTTAACGTTTTATTTTGCAACCACACATTTATTAAAGTGGTGACTTACTTCTTAGAGTGTACGGTGGAAGTGGGTCTCTTCTAGTTCTTGAACCTCCATGTTTCTACAGTAGCCCAGAACGAACAACACACCGCAGTTTCTGCTACTTTGAAGGCGAGCGGTCCAGGACCAGTGTGTAGGATTTAGTGGCATTTAGCGGCATATTGCAGACTGGAACTCCTCGCTTCAACCTCTCCTTCCATGGAGTGAAATGCACTAAAAACGGTTTGTTCTAGGCTACTGTAGAAAAATGGTGGTTAAACACCGGACCCTTAGATAAAAACGTATACTAAGGTAACAAAAACACAACTATTCTTAGGTGATTATACACAAATTAAATCATATCTACAGGGTTGGGTAACAGATTACAGACAGGGAGCGGGTCTTCTTCTTTTTTTTTTTCTTTTGTTCACGTAGTTTCTCCCTCCTGCTTGGAACGGGATGATGGAGTTGAAATCTGCAACCACACTGCTAGATGTCACTAAATCCTACATGCTGGTCCTTTAAAAATAAAGAAACGCTATACTACCGTGGAAATGAGTCCTCATGAGTCTGCTGTGGAGTGAAACCATAGCTAAACCTACAGTTTACCAATTATACCATCACTGTAATGTCTAAGTTATTTTAATTTAGAAAAACTCAATTTTGTAAGTTAAAAACATTCTTATGTACTTTTTACTAGGTTTTTTCTTCACAATACAAATAAACATTTAAAAATTAAGTAAAATTACTAAAGCTACTTGATTGAAAATGATTTTTTAACTTACAAAATGTAAAGTTAAAGTAACTCAACTGAACAACTTTAGGATAAAAATAAAAAGCAGATGCTAAAAATATCAGTTTCCATTTTCTTTCCAAGGTAACATTATTCTGTTGTCTTATAGGATACGAAAAAGTTATTTTATTGATTTTCTTTCCTTGTCTTTATTTGCATATTTGGTATTACAGTACATTTTTAACAGGTAATTATTAACTGTGTTGGATTACATTTTTAAAGTAACCCTCCCAACCCTGCATACCCGATGTTTTTATATTCCATAGCTCCTCCTAAATCTCTCACACTGGACCTTTAAGGGCTCTGATCCACAAATCCATTTGTTTAGAAACTGTGTTACTATTTCAAATCATCAGAAATAAAATGCATCAAAATGAGACTTTCAATTTTAGACACGCTTCCCTTTAGATTAGCTTTTTCTTGAAAATTTAATCAGCAGCACTTTAGTTTGCATTAGCCCCGCCACAGCACACACATGCACACACACATGCACACACACATGCACACACTCTCTCACTCACATGTTGTGTCAGTAGTTTTTCTGCGTGCCTCTGCAGTGTTCCTCTTGTTTGCTCCAAATGAAGACAAATTGAAAACTGTCAACGTTTGTGTATCTCTCTGTTTGCTCAATTCAAATTTGTACACATCCATCAGGAGGACCAGTTCTTTGTGTACGAAAGCTTTTTCATGTACGCACAGGCGTCCGTCCTTTGATTTATGCTTTAACTGTGGAAATAGATACAATAATTAATTACAAATAATTTTCTGGCAACCTCACCCGGAAACTACATAATCTCCTCTTTTAATAATAACTTTTTCTTAGAGGGCAGAACTTCTAACAGGGTTAGTAATTATTTTTAAAAAGCAAAGCCTCACACTGCAGAGTGCTCTGTCACATTTAGATTCAAAGAGCTTCTGCATGAAAAAGAGCTTCTTTTTTTTTATGTTATTGTGCAAAAAGGCAGAATCTGCCCTTGAAATGTGGCTTTGGATTGTTTGTTTTGAATTTAACTAAGGTAAGTTGCTATTCATGAAGAAACAACATGGGTAAGGACCTTGGCAAGTCATATTAATTGCTTATTTAATTAGGATCCTAAAAAAAAAGCAAGCAAACAGAAAATCTAAATAAAATATAAAGTAAAATATAATTCAAGTCAACATCTTGTTGTCTGTCTGTCTGAGAAGCTAGTGTCCTCCAGTGATAAGGTGTTGCATTAGCGAATCTCCTGAAGGTGATTCTAAGGTGATTTGCTTTTCTTATCAGGTAAATTGGAGCGTGTGTGTGTGTGTGTGTGTGTGTGTGTGTGTGTGTGTGTGTGTTGGTGTGTTGGTTTTGTAAATATGTGGCCGAGCTGCAGGAATAACCATTTGCATGCAGTGTCCGGCGGTGTGTGGTCTGCGGATTGGCTGAGCTGTCACGCTGCACTGATTGACATACAGTAAAGTCACCGGATATACATAATGAGCACATATCATGCACTCCCAGTGTCAATGCAAATACACCGTCACCACTACCTGTGGTCATACCCGATGCAAATCACACCTAATGCTCATATATAAATCCCAGTCAAGGAACGCTTAAATCCAAGGACTTCACCTTGCTGTGTGCATCGTGCGGACAACTTCAGGCGAGGATTAATGCTTGGATAAACAAAACAAAACAAAAGGATTCTTCAGCTGCAGCCAAAGGTATTGAGTCAGACAAAGTAGTGTGACGACTAGCAGGCAAAGAATGTAAGCAGAGACCTTGAGTAGGATTCAGAGTGATAGAAAAGCCTTGTTCAACCCATGGGAGCTCCGTTTGAGGAAAGAATGGAAGATTACTCTAATTGCTCCTTACCTACACTCCTACTCTTCACCTCATGTTGCATATGACCAACTAAACTGTAGATTTCACATATATTTTTAACCATAATAGCAGAGTTTAAATGAGCCTTTTTATGTATTGCAAAAGCTAAATGTGTGAATCTTTTCCCCAGGCCCCGCTGACAAACTGTGACTGATTCCATTCTGTGGCAGAAATGAAGAATCGTCTGGTTTGCTGTGTGTGTGCATAATTTTTTGCCTTCTTGTCATCTCTTTGAACGCAGCGAAAACAAAACACTTGAGAGCCCCACACACAGACTGCTGAGTGCTATAGAAGTTATTCTCCTGAAGGTTTACCCTGCAGACTGTTTGGGGTAAAGGGTATCATTATGTTAGGGGCAAGTAAATTGGTCCTCTGGGTAATGACGGGTCTGCTGGCCATCACGACTGTCTTCTTTAATGTCTACATCCTCCTGATGAGTCTGTGGAACTACAGGCAGAAGAAGAAGTGGAATCCCAGTGAGACCATCATGGTGGCGCTGGCGGTGGCAGACGTGGCTCACATGCTGGTCTGCTACTTCTGGATGACCATGACCGAGGTGGATAATGAGTGCCACATCACCCAGAACGTCTACACTATCATGCTGCTGCTGGTCTTCAGCCTCAAGTTCACCATCATGTGGGACACCAGCTTTCTCACCTTTTACTACAGCACCAAGCTGGTGAGCACGCCCAACCACTGCTACACGCAGATCCAGGCCGCCATCCTCAAGCACGTGACTTTAGCTGTTTTTCTCATCCCTCTGTGTGGCCTGGGCACCTGCATGCCGATGCTCGTGGTGTTCCACCCGGACAACTACACCAGAGAGTACCGAGACTGTGGGGTTATAATCCCCGACACCCGCCCCGGCAAGATCTACGAGACCATGTATCTGCTCATCACCGACGTCCTGCCAGGCGTGCTCATGGTGAAATGCTGCATCTCCATCTCCATCCACCTGGCTGTCCATCTCCGTCACATGAAAGCCAGCACCAACGGAGCCCACTGCCCGAAGCTGGGCTCTCAGCTGAGGGTGATCCGGATGGCGCTGTCTATAGTGGCCGCCTTCATCCTCTTCCTCGTGGTCGACCTGTACGTCCAGTACCAGATAGTGGTGAACCACGAGAACATCATCATGCTCACGTTCTTCTTCACGTCCATCTACACGACTGTCACCGCCATGGTGCTGATCTACGGGAAGGCGACACTCTGGAAAGCTCTGATTCACGGCTTTAACGTCTGCCTGGATGAATATCCGTGTTTGTCTTGTATGAAGGTGCCTGAACAAAAGGCGAAACTCAGCTCTCCTGCAAAATGTAAAAACTGAGAAGCCAGTTTGCTTCGCACTGAAGGTCTTTGTGCTGAAATCAATTGGTCATTGTCTGAACTTATTAAAAACTTTGAAGAAACTTATTCTTTTATCTTTTGCACTAGCAATTTCAGTAATGATTCAACTGTCCCGCTGTATCACCATTAATTACAATTCCTTACATCAATAAGGTATTTTTGCTGTGTTAGCCTGTTGGTAGAGCTGTTCAAGCGACGTGGCCAGGTAACCAGCTTTCCATCCAAATCACAAGCTCATCAGACTGCACCTGTGAATGAATATTTCAGGAGGACAAATAATAGCCAGGACTGTAAAATAGATCCCCAGGCATGGTTGCCTGGACGTGATGTAACTCCTAACCCATCTAAAAATGTTGAAAAATACATGTGACTGTGGTGAGAGTACAGAGCATATTAATAAAACAAGAAAGTAAGAACAACCTGGATTCTTTTTTCTTTCATCACAGAGGTTTTAAGAGTTTTTTTTGTTTTTACTCAGTCAGGTTGCAGATGGTTTAAGCTGCACACAGGGACAACTGTGTAACTGGAGTGCTGCCAGTGCAAACTCCTGCGCCGGTTAGGAAAGAGAGGAAAAAATAAAAAGTGATGGAGGAATCTTCTCTTGTGTTCGTTGGTCCTCGACAGAAGTGCCTCTCCTCGACAGCTACCAGGTGTGAGTGCACAGTGTGTGTGTGTGTGGGTGTGTGAAGCTGGGTGTTCCTGAAAAGTGCACTCATGCCCGGTAAAACCTACCCTGAGTAAACAGAGGATTTAAAAAGAAGTCAGCAGACCTCTTTGCAATGCTCCATTAGTTCACACCCTCTGGCACCACCTAGTGAGGTTCAAAGCAGAGATACAACAGTGTGGCTAATCCCACCCCGCACACAGGCCCGGGATCCCTCCAGCAGCTAAATGGACAAAGTAAAGAAAGGGCATATCTTCCTTTGATGGAGGGGAGTTAAGTCGTACCAAGGCCTTGGCTTTCATCCCTCCTGTCCTTCTCTCTCAGTCGGAGGGAGTTGGGTTTGGAATGACAGGGCCAAAAACAGCTCAGTGTCCTAAAATACAGCCACTATGGAGGCAAATATTTAAACTTCTTTGTTTGAAATGACAGAAAGACTTTAGATCCTTTACTTAAAGACCTCCAGGCACATATTAAGACATTTACAAATAGCCTGCTGGGAACAATAATGTGTGTCTGAGATGAAAAAAAAGAATAATTTCCACATTAAAATCTTTAAAAAGTCATCTACTCCCTCTACCTCATCAAAAATTTAAAGATTCTATGAATATGTATATTCTGCTCATTTCTAAAGTTTTCCTGCTGGACACAAGATGTCTCCTCCTTCACTGTAAAGTTCATCCTCAGTGTCTGTGCACTGCTGGATCACACTGAAGAAGTTCACAAATCATGCTCGATCTTTTACGTCCATACTGGCAAAAAATAAATATGATGGTTTGGTTTTGTAGTTGTAACAGCATGATCAATACAAATGTTGCCTAAAATTCTGATTATTGAACTTAAAGCTGCAGTAGGTCATTTTTATACAAACATTTTCTGGAACTTTCACTACAACCGGACAGAACAACATGAGACAAATCATCTGTGCAAACATCAGCTTCCTCTGGCTCCTCCTAGTGCCACTAATGGCATCTGAAAGAATTCACCGGGCCCGAATGAAAACAACCAATTGGAACTGAGAAAGATATTCCCAGCATCCCAGATATTTGATGACCTGGGAACAAGACTCAACAATCAACTATGTTTCTCGACTCATTAGGAGCTCTGGGAGGAGCCAGAGGAACCTGATGTTTGCAGATTATCTGTCTCATGTTCTACAGTCAGGATATAATGAAAGTTTCAGCAAATGTGACAAGAAAGTTATTTTTATAAAAGTTACTGCAGCTTTAAGACTCTCTCAGACCTCACTGCACCCTACTCAAAATTTCACTTCAGTAAATAGTTCCACCTTGTAAAATTATATTCAAGTGACCATCTGTGTGGCTTTCTGCTGGGGAAAAAGCTTTCCAGCTGCTTTCCACTGAGCGTTGTCTCAAGGTAATGGAAACTGTGTGTGTGTGTGTGTTTGTGTGTGTGTGTGTGTGTGTGTGTGTGTGACCTCAGACTATGTTACAACTCAAAGTTAGACACAGATGTGTCACTGGCGTATTGTCCGCTGAGAGGAGGCTGGAAACACGTCTGTTATGTTTAATAAAAGGAAGTGATCGATGTCCTCAGCTACTACAGCAACATGTCTGCAGCATGGAGATCGTTTCCATGGTGATGTTCCTGGCCCTTGCAAAAAACCTGGCAGTTGCAACGCCGCCGCTCTCCTTGCATGGGTGAACATCACATCAAAGTTATTGCTCCTGAGAGTTGCAGGGAGAGCGATGTCCCATACTTCACTATCTGACAGGAAGGAAAGGGCCATTAGCAATCTAGATTAGCAAGACCAGAACCTGTCACACAACTCCTATAAACATCTCACACGGCCTCCCATGATAATGCCTCTTTATAGCGGTGTTGGGCAGTAACTCATTACTAATAAATGTCAGTAATAATATCACAGTTACCTCCCAACAACCTTACTTTTGTTGGCACCTCCGACTGATTTGAAATGCAACAATCCAATCACATCCTTCGGATTCATTTTTGTAATTGTGGAGCTTGGGAGATGGAAGGTGCTTGCATTCAGTGGCTGTAAATATTCACATCACTTTGATTTTAACAGATAAAACTGGATTTTAATCGTCGTATGTCTGAATATTGGGTTGGGCTAAGTTAGTGTCACAAAGCTGCTTATTCAAGAATCTTTTTAAATGTAAAGTTTTGATGTAATCCATTTCAACATTTTCTTTTTACCGCATTACAATGTGGAGTAGCAGAAAAGTCGTGTAACTAATTACTGTTGGCAGGGAGTGATAAATAAAATAATATTATTTTTGAAAAGAGTAATGAGTAATAAATTACATATTTTGAGTAATTAGTCCAACCCTGCTCTATAGCTCCTGCAGCTACAGAGGCATCATTTTCCCTCTAATTGTGTACTACATAAATCACCACTTCCGTGCCAGTTTGTTCAATGTTTGAGGTTGTATTAGTAATTTCTCTTGCTATCAGCAGCATGCAAAGGGCACAGAGAGTGATCTGTATTCACTATGTTAACACAATCATAGTTAAGACATGGAGAAGATCCAAGGTCATCGACAAATGGGAGCTGTTCTTTCAGTAAGTCTTTATTTTTGTTCAGTCAACAACAGCTTGTTCATAAAAAAGATCATTATATATATCTCTTGAGGCAATGTTTGTATAAAATTTCTTTGATGCTTGTTAGGAAATGTGTATCATACAAAAAAGAAATCAATCCCTTGTAAAACATTTAAAATCTAAGAAATAAAACTAAAATACTGACCCTCAATTATCAATATCAATCAACTCTGATCCATTTAAAAACAACTTACATGTATAGATTCAAGATTCTCAAGGCACAGAAATTGTGTTGCTTCTTTTGAAAAAATTTAACAGTTAAAGCAGTAAATTGAAATTTATTAGAATTTATGCTGCGTAAAAATAAACCGTCTTTGTACGCACACGAATCAAAATTCAATGAATAACAATAATTTAAATCTCAATAATGAACCGATAAAAAAGAAAAACTACCAACACCTGAAATAGAAAACTAAAGTGAACTTCAAAAAGGTATTTATGCTTGTACCATACAGCGTTTAGGGTTCTTTAAAGGACCAGTTTGAATTTCTGGGAGGTGCGCTTATTTACTTTCTCGCTGACAGTTATATGAGAAGATCGATACCACTCTCCTGTCTGTCGATAGGTAGCTGGAGATTAGCTTAGCTTAGCATAAAGACTGGAAACAGGGGGAAACAGCTAGCCTGGCTCCGTGTGAAGGTAACAGCAGCACTTTGAACTAATGGAAGTAATTCATTCTAACGCTGTTTCACACATTTTACCTGCGATTTGAATAACGCACTGGGTCATATTGCAATTTTGATAATATCTGATGAACTGTGCAGCCCTACAGGTTTGCCAGGATGTATCCAGGCGTAGATCCATCAAGCTCCAGACGCCCTTTATCATATGTTCTGGTTATTACAATTTTGGTCGTCTATTTCTGAGACATTTTCTTCTATTTGTGACAAGGAAATCAGCCCTGACCCTGTAACAGCAGTCTTTGGTGCGGGCCCTGACGAAGTATTGGTCGGCTGGAAGTGTGGTGGCACATTTAAAGCTTAAGAAGCTAAAGAACTCAACCAGGGGATCCACTCGAGTATTTTATAGTGTGGCAGCCATTTTTGGACAACTATGACTTCCCTGCTACAGATACTGAAACCTCGGACTGCGATTTAACCAGTAAATGATCTCTGTAATATGTCCAACAACTTGTATTTTTTATTGCTTTTATCCAAAGTGTTTTACAAGATTTTAGCTGCTCATTCACCTTTTCACGTAAACACACTGATGGCAGCGAGCTACACCGACCATCAGGAGCAATCTGTGGTCACGATACACGGCTTACAGTTCAATATAAGTAAGCAAAGCGATGTGTTTTAGTTTAAGGAAAACTGTCATTCATGGGCTAAGCTTACCGACCTCTGACTCCAGCTACATATTTTCCGTTACAGACATGAGAGTGGTATAAATCTTCACATCTGATCTCTGCAAGACAGTGTATTTTCCCCAAAATGTCAAACTTACTTCCACTGAACATCAACGTGATGCAGTCTGGAAGAACCAGTTACAGTATTCAGTTCATACATCAAAACATCACAACAAACACGTAATCTGCTGCACATTCATTAATGCCATCCAGTGTGGTTTACGAAAACGGGTTTGATCATAACATTACTGAACACCACCATCGAACACAAAATATTCAGTTACATTCTGTACATTGTATTCCCTGCTCTTGATCAAGTTCTAATGCAGCTTTTTCCCGTCTGGAATGCAGCTAAAGGGGGAAAATCATCCAGTGTCACTCCAACACATAAAAAGTGAAATATTACATTGCAGCATTGGTCATTCCTTTTCCCTGCGAGTGATAAAGTCTGTACAACATCCCGAAAAAAAAGAAGCATCTAATCACTGTTTCATTACCTCTTAAAAAGCACACTGAATCCAGGGCTGTAGTGACCTCATGTACCCAAAAATCATATATTGATTTCTGCACAGTAGTACCCTCTTCCGACAATAACCCCCTAACATATTCTTCCTCGCAGCTTAAATACAAAGCAACAGCTAAAGCTTGAGAACAAAGGACTGCTCGGAATTATTAGTGACTGGCATCAGAAAGATATTTGAACATTTGGGACATGTCCCACGTAGATCCGCATCCACGGCGCCACAAATGAAACTGTGCAGAAGAAGTGGGGGAAACTTAAGGGCCTTATTGAGGTGTGTGCTCGTAAGACGGGAACATTGACTTCCGCGTTTTGGGAGGCGGGGGCGGAGGCTTGCTCTCAATTTTCATTGGCAGCGGCGGAGTGAACTGTGGGGAGAGAAGAGAGAAGAGAGTTCACGTTAGGACTTTAAAATAAAAATAAAAAACAGAATATTTTAACGTTTACACGTCATTAAATATGCATTAGCGAGGGTGTGCTATTTTCTCCGAGCAGATGTACCTCTGAAGGGAAGCCGGGGTTGTCAATCTCGTGCGGGTGTTTCTTCGGAGGCATGGGTGGGGGGGTCCCTGGGGTGTCAAAGGCATTGACATCATTGTCACTGAGAAGCGATGAATAACCTAGCACAGGAGAGAGGAAATAAAAGCGTTTCAGACCACATGCATCCGTGAGTGAGTGTGTGTGACCTGATTAGGGCTACAGACCAGAATGTGCTTACAAAAGGTTAGTAGGCAGGATATTCCTCCTCACTGTGTGTGTGTGTGTGTGTGTGTGTGTAAGGCATATTTTTAAGAGAGAGTACATGCACTGTGGTGTTTGTCAGGGCAGAGGTTTTGCTACATACTGGAGCTGCGTGGTGTGCGCGGTGTGTGTGGAGAGGCAGGTAGCGGGCTGAGAGGGTTAGACAGGCTCAGCTGGGATGAAACACCCTGGAACAGCGAGAGGGTGAGCCGTCGGTCCCCGAATTGTAAACTCTTGGGCCTCTGCTGCTTCTCTGGAGGAGTCTGGAATAAAAACGAAGACGGAGGCATCCATGTAAAACAGTCAAGCACAATGTGGCTTCTCCCAGTTCACAGCTGAGTAACAGAAACTTAATATTAGGATGACATGGTTTTGTAAACAGCTTATATAATCACCTGAAGAAAGTGTGAAAATAGCAGAACATGTGTAAAAATAGCACCTGAACATAAGGCCTCACCTCGTCTGCGTCCGACTGCCTCTCCAGCAGCACCTGGGATTTGCTCACACTCCACTCCTTCCTGTTCTTTCTAGCAATCCTGTTGTCCTCCTCCGAGCGGGATAAAACCGAGGTCCTGCGATCGCTGGGGCGGGACAACAAGGAACTGCTTGTGAATAACCGGGGGCAGAGAAAGAGACGCAGACAGATGTACAGTCATAAAGACACACAGTGCTTTTGATCTGAGCAAAAAAGTCAGTGTTTAAGGAAAGCATCGTGACGGCAAGACAAAAACTTAGACAGAGGGAAAAGGTAGACAAAGGAAGCAGGGAGAGGATGCAGACTGACTCTTGGGAGGAAATGCAGGAGGGTCCATCTGAGGATGCGGAGCCGCTGGAGAGGCCGGAGGAGGCGTTGGAGAGGGTGGAGACAGTGGACATGCGACGCAGGGTGGAGGACAGGATGTAGGGCATCACCATCGAGCCCACGCGACTCTTCTTCCTCTCGGTGAGAGAGCAGGGCTGGGACACACAAATGGGATTAAGCATCACCGGGGGAATCTTGGCAGGGGAGGAGCACAATGACAGGCAAAACTCGGGGGGGTTGCAACGGACCGGCTAAAGGAAGATTTATGGTCCTGCGCTAATATTATGTACACTGCTTTGAATGAAAGGCGTTTGATAGGAAGGCAAGAGGGCCAATAGCTTAAGTTGGCACCCTCTTACATTAAATTGAGTTTGCGGCTGGCAACGCACCAAGGTTATGACGCCATAATGCTTCTCCACTTTCTCCCGAAGGTCCTGGAAGCAAGTAACCAGACGGTTGTGCAAGGGCTTCAGCTGCTCTGTCGTCTTCTCCCCGTGGAGGCGGATCCCATCTGCCAGGAGAGGGATCTAGAGGGGACGAACACGCACTTTAGTGTTACAAAACATGCTCTGCTCGGAGGCCAGCGTCGGCGACAATGACGGCGGAGGGATCTACCTGCAGGGCGATGAGGTGTTTGAGGACCTCAATGCGCTCGTGGTCCTCTGGGTGCTCTTGGATGTAGGTGTCGGTAAAGAAAGCCTATAGAGGATGAAGAAGAGGATTAAAATTGGGCAGCTTGCTTAAAATATAGCTGCAAGCAACAATGAACAGGTTTCCACAGCATGACAAAGAGGCCACGCGGCCCCCTTATGAATAAAACTTTGTAACTCAAAACAGGCTTGAGGCCAGCCGGAACTCATGTTAATGAAAAAGGGACTCACAAATTCATATTAATGTTTGCAGTTGTATGATTTATCTCTTATTAGTGTAGTTTGGCAATGTTTTATAGCAGTATATTCTTTTCCAAATCAATTACTTTAGAGCCAACTGTGCACACACGCAGAATCTGATTTAGCAAACAGCTAAAATCCAACAAATACAGTGCAGCCTGTAAGGAGTGGGACACAATTTTGGGGGGGCTCTGTACTCCTGCATAGTGGATTTGAAGACTGGTACTCTAGGCCTAAGTGCTGTCCAAATATGATGTATTACCAGCGGCACTGGCTCTGTAGATGTCAGCCTGTGGGTCGACCACTTTGTTCCGGACTGAAATATCTCAACAACGACTGGACGGACTGAGATAAAATGTTCAGATGTTCATGGTCCCCAGAGGATGAATCCATTAAGGGGAAAAATGGCTTCTTCTACAGGAATAAAACATGTGTTCCTCGGCATTGTAGAAAGACCCTTATTGAGGCGCTATCAGTCTTGGATTACAGTGATACTCTGAAGCCATTGGCTGCTGTCTCTGACCCTGCACTAAGATTTATTGCTGGTGATAATACTGAGGATTGGATGACCCTCTCTCTCTCTGTAAGCCGTGACAGACACTGTGTTTTATTTATTGATTTATTAGGCCCTTACTATTTTTTCCCAACCCCTAACATAACTGTGCTGTCTTTAAATGTGAGCCCTTATTGAACACGATCAACAGCTGCCAGCTGTTTTTATTCGGCTATATTGTAAATGAGGTTTCTACCTGAATGTATTTCTGAGTTAAAGCTCCAGTGTGTAACATTTAGGAGGATCTGCAGTCACAAATGGAATATAATATTCATAGGTATGTTTTCATTAGTGTATAATCACCTGAATATAAGAATCATTATGTTTTTGTTACCTTAGAATGAGACGTATTTATCTACAGAGGGAGCAGGTCCTCTTCTAGTCCACCATATATTTACAGTAGCCCAGAACGGACAAACCCCACACTGGCTCTAGATGGGGACTTAAAGCCTTTTTCACAAGTTTTTGGCCACCGTAGTTTCTCCTACACACTCTCATTCCCAGGTTGTCATCTGCAACTTCACCACCAGATGCCACTAAATCCCACACACTGGTCCTTTAACGTTGAATGAGTCCTCTGACTTTTCTTTTAGCTCCGCCAGCGTCCATCAGCCTTTGCTCTGCTTTTTGTTTAGTGCAAGTTAGCTACGGTTAGCACGCTAATTATTACGCTTATTAGGATTTATTGATGATATTGTCTATGATGGTTGGGATTATTTAATATCTCTGTATGTTACCTGTGAAGTGGTATTTTGTATTTGTTTGTTCCAAGGTTATTTTAAGATCTCAAACCCCTCAAGAGGACCCGTTTAAATGCGGTTTGTTTATTCGTGTCTGAACTAAAAAAAGTCAAACCTTCTCATAGTTGGAGAAGCCGCCCATGACAGCAGGGTCAACAATGCCGCTGAGCATCATGGACAGTGGGTTGATGGACAGCGAGCGATCACAGGCCTGCTGCTGCACGAGGTTACTCAGCTTTTCATTGGCCATCTCCATGGTCTCCACAGCGTTCGCCAAAGGACTGATCTCCTCCTGCACATCGGGAGAATGAAACAGTGGATGTGAGGAATTTTTAAAGACAAAGAAAAAAACAGCACAGTTCTAGCATCAAGGTTGTTTTCTTACCACAGAGACCGATTTTACTTCAAACCATTTCAGAATCCCTGGGAAGCGATAGGCGGTAATGTAAGTTGTTCTCTCGATCCACATGGTCTGTCGGGCAGAATAAATATCAATAAAATATTAAAGGGTGGCATTTTAATGTTGTTATTAATCTTCAGAGTGAGGTATGCGCAGAGGCAGGGTTGTTTATGCATTTTTGAGGAATTTATGGGCGTGTGCTCACACGTATGAGCTTAGTGCTTTAGAGTAAATTTAAAAAGTGCTCACTGCAAATTCATTGTCTGGGTCCTTTTCACCTTTCCTGAAGGGCCTGGAATACTGGAACTGGTCCACTTCATTGGTTCTGTAATAGCTGCAAGAGAACAGGGAAGGACAGCGGTGAGTTAGCAGTCTGACCAGAGAACTATAAATCCCAGGGTATTCACGAGAAAATAAATCAGCCTTTAAGTGTTCTGTTACGCACTTTAATATCTGCTCTGGAACCCCCTTGTCTTTAAACTGGGGCGGCACGGTGAGAACAGGCTTGACAGTAAAGCACTGGATGTCTGTGAGGTTCAGCTAAGGATAAGACCAGAAATAGAGTGGAGGAGCAGACAATGCAAACTTGTATTGAATGTGATTTTCTTTTAAATCTATAATTGTCATGACTGAGAGCCCAGAGCCATGCTAGCAGCTCTGTGAGGCTGCACTTTGCTCGGAGCTTAACACTAACATCCTCACAATGTCAGTGCTAATACGCTGCTCAGCACGTATATTTACCATGTTCACCATTTTGAAAAACTAAATACAGCTGAGGATGATGGAGTGTCAGTAGTAAACCAATCAGTATCAGAGAAATGTAAAGATCCCCTACAGACATGTATTGTGAAATGTCCACATTGAAATCCTTAAAAAGTAATCTGCTCTTCATTAATCCATGAATATGCAAGTTTGGTTCATTTCTAAAGTTTTCCTGTTGGACACAAGATGTCTCCTACTTTTTCCCACAACCTGCGGCCCTTTGCTGCGTGTCATCATCTCTCTCTCTCTCTCCACTTTCCAGTCTATCTTAAAGCTGTCACTAACCAAATAAAGGCATGAAAAGTCCCCCACCCCCCAAAAAAGAAGAAAGGATAGACTTCTTAAGAGCACAGGGAAACTTCCCACATTCAGCAGATGAATGTGAAAACATCCTTCTAGTGTCAAACTCTGTACAGACATCATTCTGCACAGTGAAGATCAAACATCACACTGTAGGAACTAGAAGTAAAACAGATTTTTGGCTGGAGGGGAACTTTAAATATTGACGTGATGATGTCTGAGGGGGATAATTCATCCAATAGCTGTTGAGATATTTCACTTAAACCCACTAATTAAACCTCATTAACTTCCCCAGAGCCATGCTGCTCATATAGCAGGAGTTATTATATAAGGATACACTGTCCAGATGAGTTGCTGATGTTGTCTCCAGGGGGCGCTGTGCTGGTCATACGCGTTGCGTTGGGGAACTGAGAGAGCAGCTTTAAGCTGAAGTCTTCCAGCCACTCGTACTCCTTCCCTCTGTAGATGAACATCTTGTTCTGTAGCGGAACATTTCAGCGAGCAACACAAACAAACTCAATAAAAAGCTAGAATTATGATCAAACTCATTCTCCAAAATATATGAAAGGTGTGCAACACCGTGACAGGACTGTTCACTCTGACATTCTCTTGTGTCATCAAAAAGCCAATAACCTTTATCGGCATTATTGCACATAGCCCCGGGAAATGTCTCCAAAAAGCCGTCTCATTGCATAACCACTGCCCACGATGGTTTCTCCACGTCTGTATTTATTGAAATAGGTAATCATTTCCTCACCCGGAGGAAAGAAGGGAATCCAAGGCCATAATATCCTACAGCGAAGTACTCTGGCTGTGGCCGCATCGCATGCATGATATTTTCATAGAAGTTGGCTTGTTTTTTCTGTGACAGAGGACAAAGAAGATGGTAAGACTGCAGCACATATTTAGTATGTTGTATAATTAGTAGTAGAACAAAACAAAATCATTCCAAATAAATTGCAATTACATCTGCAAAAAAGGAATGCGTGTTGCTCTTGTTTTCTTTTATGTAATTATGAGAAGATTAGTGGAGCACAATCATACTAAACCACAGTTGCTGAGAGACTATAAATAGAGCCTTCAGATTGCTGTTAAACTCTACAGCATGACAAAGCACTCTCTGGTAAACAGGTTAACACACAATTACCTCTTCCCAATCTCCTCAAGTTGTTTTTAAAACTAATCTCACGCAGCGTCGTACGAGCTGGAACACTGTTGTCCACACCAATCTCAAACGTCTTAATGAGGCAGTAACACTACACCATCTACATTCAAGTTGTTTTCATATCGCTTTATAAAGCTTTAGAATCACTTGCACTCTTACCAGCAGCTCGCTCAGCTCCATGAAGTCAAACATGTGGCTCTCGTGCATCTTGGCCAGCTGCTTGCCCAGCTCGATAGCCTTCTCCCACATCTGAGGAGACACGTGCATCGCTCAATTAAAAGGGAACATAAAACAAGAACATTAAAAAAAACAACACAGAGGCATTAGCTAGACTCGCCATCTGGCTCCCCGAGGCGAAACCCCCCACCTCAGAACAGTGGATGTGTACAGTAGCAGCCGGTGACACAACAAAGAACCCTGCGGCTGCTGGGCGAGCTGAAGTAACTTCCCCCCCACAGGTTTCACAACACTAACTTTTGACACCGGCTCATGTGCACAGCGGTTAATACTCACCTTGCCCTTGTCCAAATAGCATATGATCTCCTGGAAGAGCCTCTCTTTAAGCTCCTGCTGGGTCCAGACGTGCTCCCCATCCCTCGGTATCAGATGAGGTGCGCAGGTTTTGTCAGACCACTGGGTGAAGCAAATTAACATTCAGAAGCATGTTGATATCAGCAAAGATTAAACAGCATAAAAAACATAAAATTCTGATCTTGTTTAGACTGAAAAGAAAAAAAGAGACTTTGATGTGTCAGAAACCTCAAGTAATTCAGCATGTAGCAGCAGAGTGTAGGCCGCCTCTGTGTAGTTCTCACAATCCAGGTGCAAATCTCGCAGCTTGTACAAGTACCTGGTTACAAGAGTACATCAGTTATACACTGTTAGGCATTTGGTCCAAAAAACCAGACGCCCCGTGTGTCTGTCTGACTCACCGGATGTAAATATCCTCCCTCTTCTTTTCTTTGTAGAAATTCTGCAAGAGAAAAAACCTTAAATGCACACTCTTGAAAACATTTTCTCTCACGCAATTTGCAGAACAGCACACATGATTGCTTCTGTACATTCGCACACAGCGTAACCCCCCCTTTGGCAAATATACAGTAGGCGTACCAGCACGTTGACGGTGCAGCTCATGCGGTGCTCGGGGCTCTCATCGTGTGTGATGGTGCGGTACGCCAGGAGATTCTCCAGCAGGCTGCTCAGCAGCAGAGCCAGCTCCTCTCCTGACTGTGACAGGTATCTGTGGCGTCTGCAGTGCTCCAGTAACCTGCACACACAGACAGATTCACACAGTACTCTTACAGACCGCATTAAAACCTGCTTTTGCAATGGTTTGGGATCGTATATTCTGTCTCCGAGGGTTTTCTATTGATTAGAGGTTGCTCACAATTCTAACAGACCTTCTGTCTCCTGGAGGATTTTTAAAAAACACAATCATAAAGGCCTTTGTTGAAGCTGGCAGTAATCCTATGTGAATTCTCTATCACACAGAATTGAAGGATTTTTGATTGGAGCGTTGTACTACTTAAACAACTTTCAGAATAAAAGAAATATTCTCTGTTTGATCCTCCTCTGCCTTACGTTTTCTCCAGCAGGACTTTGTACTGCTGATCTCCTCGGCCTCCTTCTACCTCTTGATCCAACTTTGTTATCAGTTCATTCTCAAACTGCAAAGATAAGAAGGGAATTAGAAAAAAAAAAAAACATGCCATTATACACATATTAAATGTCATATTTAGCCAGGAGCAGCTCCAGCCGAGTTCCAACCAAAAGACAACAACGAGCTGAACTTCTGAGGTAGCTACCGTTTCAAACGTGCGTCCAGGGTTGAAGTTGTGCTCACACTGCATCATATCAAAGAAGATGGGGATGGTGGCTTTCCTGAGTTCGGGCTCGGGCACCAGAGTGACCTCCAGAATGGGCCCGACCATGGCTGGGATGAACTTCATTTTGTGGGGGCCTGAGGGACAACAAAACATTATCACACAGAAATATCATAGTATGATTTGAGAAGGCAATAAGCTGCACTTTCATTCCTCGACAAACAGAGGACAAATCTAATAATGTGGTAAACAAAACAACACACTGTGAAACTGGACAATATAAAATATTGTCTTGTTATTCCCCTTGCATTACTGGCAGGCACTGAATAAACTATTCCACAAACTCTATGATAATAGCAGCAAAATACTCACCGAGATTGTACCACATATCTCTGATCTTAAATCCAATATTCTTCCTCATGTCCCCGTATCTGTAGTCAATTTAAATCAAAGAGCAGTTAAATTAAGTTCTCTCTATTTTAATAATCTTTTTGATTAATTGTAAATGATCTCACTTGTTCAGTATCTTGTTTCGTTTCTCTTGAGAGAAGGACTCCAGCTGCAGTGTCGTGTGGGTGAGGAACGCCACAGTCAAATGAAAGTAGTTATTCCACAGCTGCGAGGGCGAAGCAGAGGTTTTCAAATATTAATACCATAATTACCTTCTCATAACACCAGCTTTTGACTTTGTGTTTAATAAAAAATGTGACCTCCAGACACACCTGCAGTTCAAAATGCGCCTGGTCCAGAAAGTACATGTTGAGGACGTCCGAGTACTGGTTTATGGCCCTCAGGAAGACCTGCATCTGCACCAGGTTCATGATCATCCAGTCGACAGGGAAGACGTTTCCCATGAGGTCCTTGAACATGATGAATGTCTCCATGAGGAAGTCCTGAGGGCAGCACGAGAATAAAATCTTTACTGCGAGTGTATGCACACTGCCGCTTTAAAGACAATAACAGTAATATCCAATAGACCCACACTAAGCAAATCCAGCACTGCGACATGTCTCCACACACACACACACACACACACACACACACACACACACACACACACACACACACACACACACACACACACACACACACACACACACACACACACACACACACACACACACACGGCTTAATGGAGGCCCACTGACATCCTCATCATGTCAGTCCAATCCATCGCATGAAATGTCTATAATCAATATTCTCTTAAGGAGCAGTAAGTGGCCGGGCTGGTTTAATGCCTGTTATTGATGAGATGTTTCAGGACAAGTTGTAGCCAACAGGGGAGGAACCGGGACACTTACAATGATATCCTGTCTGGTCTTGAAGGTGCTGATGTAGTGGGCGTAATGCATGTCATCCATTTGCTTCAGGATGGCCGTCATGCAGGCGAGATAGTGGCCCTGCCGCAGAGGAGTCCACTATTACTCACATGATTTCACTGAGAGGCATTTCTCCCAAAAAACAAACTGCACTTACATTGTCTTTTTGTTATTGTTATGACTCTTAAAAGACTGGTGTGCTACCATATGAATGAAGGGTCACACTTTATGTTAAAGTACACACTTGTGATTTATTAGCATGCATATAAGTAGCATATTGACTCTTTATTAGTCATTATACAAGCACTTATTGTGCATTATTCTGCATTAATTAAGACTCTGATGATCTTGTGCGCTTTGCTCAGTATAGGCCTTACGTTTATTCCTTATTTAACACTTATTAAATGTCTGTTCTTCAAGTGTTCTTATAACTCTAAATTAAGTATTTTTACCCCCAGAATATTTTCCTCATTCCTCATTCTCATAACTAATATACTTTCCTCAGAGTGGGCCAAAGTCTTGGAAACTTATACGAATTATTAAACTTGTTTTCAATTTGTATTGAAATCTTTTGCAATTTTAAAATGATCAAAGTTTAAAGTTTAAGACCACAATGCTGTTCTCGCCACAGCCGAATTGACTTCAGTTTACAGCCTCAAATCAAGTAGAATGAATTTATTTTACAAAAAAGTAATCTTATAGAAAGTTAAAGTGTTTGATGCACGTACAGTTAACATCACTGTGTGTGTATTTATCAACTACAGCAACAACTTTGATCTTTATTAGGCTGTATGCATGTAGATAAGATCGTCTGCAGCACTTCCACTGAGCTTCCCTTAGGTTTATGTGGGCGATCTGAGTGAGGGGCTAATATACAATTAAAAACTTTTAAGACAACAACATTTCCAGGATATTTGTTCATTCTAATTAATTTCCAGGATGCGTGGGAACAGCTCAATGTAGAAAGAGGGACATATTCTAAGACTTTATTTAAGGTTATTTTGACACTATTAACACTTACAAAGGAACAGAATAGATTATATTCATTAGTATTCTGGTGGTACTAACACCATATAAAGGCCCATCCTGAGCAAAGCGCATTAAGATCATAATTCATGTATAGCAACTTCCTTACTTACTATCAATAAGCAGTAATTAGGAGGTTAATGAGGGAAAACGGTTTCAGAATAATGCATTAAGAACTGCTTTATAATGACTAACGAGCCAATATGCTACTAATATGCATGTTAATAGGTTACTAGTTAATAGTGAATATGTGCACCTTCATATAAAGTGTTAATGTCAGTATTATTAATATTGAAATTAATGCTGAGGGTGCAGTCGTCAAGGAGATACTTCCTCTGTGACACCGCAGTGTGTCTTACGATGAGAGGAGAAGATCTGTCCATGCTGATGACCGTCCGATTAACCCTGCGAAGAAGCCGCTCCATTATCAGCTGAACGTGGCCTCTGGTTGGACCCTGCACAGACAGAACAGCCGCAGGTACAATTACCGGCTGAAACGCAGCGACACAGGCAGTCTGCAGAAGGTTGGCTCACACAAATTACAACAAAAAAAGGGAAAGAACAACACAATTCTCCCACATTCTTGGAGATTGTTTTGGTTTTATTTGCTCAGGTTTGGAGGTAAATGTCTCTGAGATTTCTCTCTTCCACTATAATGTAATGGAGGTGAAAGGAATCTATTATTACAACAGCAGTGTGTCTTCCTAGAAATACTGTTCCAGTTATTACTGTTAATCATCATAAATGGATCAGGAAGTCAACCCTGGTCCAGTATCCAACGCATACAGTGTGATCCACCAGTGCACACACACTGAGAATGGACTTCTTGTGTCCAGCAGGAAACTGGAAAACTAAACTTGCATATTTATAGACATTTTTTTTAAGGCTTTTAATGTGGAACATGTTGCTTTTTTTGGCAGACAAAACATACACATTGTTATTCTAAGCAGACTATTTGTATATATGTCTTAATACATGCCTGGAGGGGAACTTTAAAGGTGTCACCTCAGACTTTATGAGACTGTGATTGACATTTGTCACTATTTTCTGATGTCAAAAACTGTTCTCAGTGAGGTTTCTGGATTATCCAGAGAAGCTGGGACATCCTTTGTGGGAAGAGATGTTTTTCTGACATTTTTCAATGCTGTGAGCGTCACAAACAAAATTCCATTCGCCTCCATTGTGTCGGGGTGGAGACAGAAATCTCCTGCAAATAAAACCATTCAGTTTAAACCGTTTATTTGGGTCGAGGTCACGGTGGCAGCGGGCTGAACACGGTTAGCCCAGACGTCCCTTTCTTTAGCCACCTCTTTCAGCCCCTCCAGGGGGCGGGGGGGCAACTACATGCTACCAGGCCAGATGGGATATGTAAGGCCTCCAGCATGCTCTGGGTCAGCCCCGGGCTTCCTTCCAGTTGCCCAGAAAACCCCTAAAGAGAGGGTCGAACCTCAACTGGCTCCTTTTGATAGAAAACAGCAGCAGTTTCTCTAACGGTGAGTCCGGCCACCCTGTGGAGGACGCTAATACCCACAACTCCTTCTGACTGTTCTGTAATTTGTGCATACCGACCCTTTAAACTTAATCTGTGTGTCCACAGGTTCATTCAGACTCCTCACCACGTCCTTGCGGTCCAGGTTGTCCAACACCGTGCTGAGCAGCTGGGCACAGCCCTCGTGGTCGGGTTTACTCGAGTGGTCGTCAAGCTGCCCGCTCAGCTGGTCAGTAACAAGCGGCAGAAGCACGTCCCGACAATCTGTGGAGGAGAGAAAGACTCACTGGATCACACAGCACATTTCCTCCTAATGGAGCTGACCTGACAAACTCGTATGTTGGTGTAATGCGGAGCAGAGTGAAATGACTTTTCAGCTTGTGAAAAGTCATTATGTGATTTCTGAGCCTGGAGGACTCCTACCTGGCTGCCTGAAAAGGTCACTCTCCACCATTTTACACATGCAGCCCAGCTTCTGACGCACGAGCTGAGAGTCAGGAATGCTCTCAATGAACTTCGCTAGAAGGACGCTGGAAACAGAGCGAAAGAAAAGAGCCAAAGGAGTAGGTGTGACAATTTTAATGCGATTCACATTTCACATCTAGTAATTATTGCCACAGAGGGCTAATGAGGGGCACACATGATGAGTTGATTTTACAGCAGCAAGAATTGAATATGACGCCTCTTTTACTCAGACGTAAATATGATAATTTGCACTGAGAAAGGCAATTATCATTTCCTGCTGCGTAAACCCTCTGGAGAGTTACCTGAGTTCCACGGGATCAAACACAGTCTGGATGTCATTAATGATGCTCGGGAGGTATTTCAATATTGCTCCCTGTAAAGCAAAGAGTCACATCTCAGCAGGCTGAAACACAGGGAGGTTTTTTTATTCTGTCGTACGCTTTTCCTCACCTTACTGGGACTGCAGACACTCCTGTTGCAGTTCATTTGTTAAATTTATCAATAACTTGTCCATAACAGTGTAACACATATTCACAGCAGGATTACTGAATTCACTGACAATTAAAGCAACGTCTTCATAAGGTCTAGTTTAATTTTCACGCTAGAAAATGATTAATTCGTGAAAATAATAAAAAAAATCTAACAAACAGCCACCAAACATCAACTTTTCTCCTCAGCGTACCTTTATCTTCACTCCCTCGTCCAGCGGTCTGTCCATGAGAGTGTTGAAAGACAGGAAAAGGGTGCGAATGGAGTTGAAGAAAGCGTCCCCATCCTCGCTGTTCCCGTAGAATCTGAGAATCAAAGCCAGGCGTTATATCAGAAGTACTCATCCTTAAAATATGACAGAGAAAAATTGATTCTGATGTACCTGAGATAGAGGACCCGGGACTGTACAATAAACCTGAACAGGTACTTGAGGGCTTTGAGTGCCGCATAGAGCCTCTCGGTCAGGACGGGCTCCTCCACGTGGCCCACGTAGTAGTTGAGGACCCTGGTTAGCTTCCTGAGAAATTAGTGAATGAGTCAGAGGATCAAGGGCGGCTGGTAATTTGGACGTGGGTGAAGAAGACGAGCACTAAAAATAAACAGCGCGAAGGGGCGTAAGCCATCAAAGGTGAGAAATAAAGAACGGAGACTCACATGTAAGCCAAAGTGGCACTGAAGTGCTTGTTGATGTAGGTTTCCAGGACTGGGTTGAAGTGCTGGAATTTGATGTCGCCAATAAGTGTGATTATGAACACCTGGTTATAAATAAGGGAGGGAAACAAAATCAGAGCCGTGATCCTTTGTATCCGCTGATAAAGGACCAGTGTGTAGGTTTTAGTGGCATCTAGTGGCAAAGCTGCAGATTGCAACTCAGAGATGTGAAAGAAAATCTAGAGCCAGTGTTCGGTTTGTCCGTTCTGGGCTATAAACAAGGCGGTTCAACATGGCGGACTCTGTAGAAGAGGACCCGCTCCCCATAGATACAGAAACACAGATACCTCGCTGACCGCTGCTGTATGCGTCTGCGTGGTCATCATATTGCGGAGGTCAGTTAACAATACTAAGAGATTCAGACTTCACTACAAAATCCACTGCAACTTGCTTTCATCTGAACCAATTTCCATGAAATTTAGTTTGTTATAAATGTGAGAAAGTTGGAGAATGTTGGAATTTATTCAGCTGCTGGAGGCAGATCGGCTCTATGCCAAAAAGTTAACCTTCTGAATAGCCACAACTTCCACTGGGACATGCAGGCTCTGATCTATGAACAGGCAGCATTGAGTATAAATTTAGAGTTTTATCTCTTCTCAGTTTCTCCAAAAATGTAGATTTCTATATCTAATTTAATATATTGTTATAAAGCCGCCTGGTTGCTTGTTTCTGTGAAATGTGAAATTTGTCCACAGGATAAATATAATTCAACCGGTGAATTCTTTCCCCCCTGCACAGTTTCCTGGTTAGACAGTAATCTGTAGCATCTGTTGATGCTTTATGCACCAGCTCTCTCTCTTCTCTCTCTCTCTCTCTCTCTCACACACACACACACACAGTATACATGTATTCATTGTTTACTGTATTTTGATGGTTCTCTGACTAGCAGTGCCTGTTTTGAATATTTTTCCAAAAAGAGTCTCTTGACTGTTTTTTGAGCGGATTAGCTCCGCCCCCAGTGACTGAATGAATTCAAACAAGTAGCCAGTAGCAGCTTCAATTCTCCCGTTTATAACGAATTCACGAAAATTCAGAACCAAGCAAGTTACAGTCGATTTTGTAGTGAAGTCTGAATCTCTCAGTATTGTTAACTAGCTGATCTGACCTCCGCAATATGGCGACTACGCAGATGCTCGTCAAATCGAGAACACAGTGTCTACGTTTCTATATCTATGCCTCCCTCTGTAGATAAAAACGGTAACGAAAACACTTCTTATTTTCATGTACGTTTGAATATTATATTCCATTTTCTGCCAATAGATCCTCCTAAATGTTACATACTGGACCTTTAAGTGGCAGAGTCCACCATTCCCGCTCTGGCTCAAATGACCTTCCCCTTAGGGATTTACAGGAAATAGTGCATGCATGTAATAGATTGTTGCTGTTTTTATCCAACTGATTTCACTATCTGCGGTTCACTCTCCTGACGCTGTATCAGAGCTGCACTAAGTTACTGAACAGAACTAGTTTGTACAACGTGTTGTTTGTCTGGCACTCGAAGGCGGGGTTACAACCCAGCCGTTATAGAGGGGAGCAAAATAGTTAAATATGTGTGTAACAGCATACATTTCCATACAGTCGCTGCTGGAAGGCAGTCACATTGCTGCACTCAGTTATGCACATAAAAAGTGACACAAGCAGAAGGGTTCATTGGCAAAAACAGATATATCTGTTTTTATTTATTTTCCTATGTTTTTTTTGTTTGCAACCCAGGGAATATCAATTAAACTGGTGTTGGGTTGTTTTGATATCTTCTTTTTCTCATTTCCATAAATCATGTTTTTTTTTATCATGCACTCAGGGGAATATCAATCAAACTGATGTTGGTTTATTCATTTAATTTTATTCATCTATCTGTTTTTCCAGATGAACTCTTACAAGAAAGCTAGTGAGAGTGAAGTTCAAACCTTCCTCGCCACCGCACACCTGGCCAATCACTGTGGGTGCAAATGTATTCATATTGTCTGTTTCAGAACGTCGGAAAGGTGTGGAGGGAGGCATGTACTGGCTTTTATTGTGAAGGAGCCACAGGAAAAAACATATATATTTATATATATTAGGGATATTACGGCTTCACGATATGGATCTTTTTCAATTGATACCAATAATGACCTACATCCATGGCCAATAAAAATAAGAACAAGTTCATGTCCTGTAGTTTATGCACACCTGCAGGGTAAGAAAGGCTAAGATGTAGTGAGTGAACCACCAGCTATGTCACTGAATTTGGTGAAACTGGATCAGATTTTATGGAGAAAATGTTTTCTGTTTTCCCTCTGACTGCTCCACCTCAAATCTTTGTGATTAGCAGAGTTTCCCAATGGACAGTAAATTAACTGCTGCCAAATGTAGCTGCTGTTAGTTAGTTAGTTAACTTAGCATACTGCCCTGGACACCTGGGACTGGGATCGAGCTGGTGTTGATACTGTTAGCACAGGAGCTTCGACTGCCGGGAGGAGGACGCTTTTAGGCCTGGGATGAGGCCGACTTAGGAAGCTAAGTCGGACAAGAGTAAATCTCGTACAGACTTTCAGTCGTTGGCGAGGGTTTTGGCGTCGAGTTGTCCTTCTTAAGTAACGTAATCATACCAAAAGTACAGCTGTCCATATTGGGATTGAAACTGGGGTTGCCAAATTAACAAATACCAAATCTTACATAATGCTGCTTTAAGTCAATGAAAGCAATGTTGGCATCGTACTATTGGCTAATACAAAATAATAAAAATGTATTTTGTATACATTTTCGACCTCATATATTATTGTGCATCCCTAATATAGAAATATATATATTTCTATACTGTATATCAGTATATGTAATGTAATGCCATCACCCATTGGCACTATGCCCTGGAAACAGACTAACCAAGGCATCGAACACCAGGGTATCATAGGTGTCCTTTTCTGAGGTCTCCATCATGATGTTGAACAGGGCATCAAGAGTATCCTGGAGAAACTGCACATGAAACAGAAACCGGGTTTCAAAAACGCCATTTAAAAGACATTATGAAACATCTATAAAATATAGCAGCCTGTTAAATATTTAGCGCGGCATTCGTGGCGCAAAGAGAACTCACTTTGACAATCTCGCTTCCCTCGACCTCCATCAGCCTCTTCAGAATCTGGTCCAGGTCTTCAGGGTTGGACCTCCAGTTCAACAGCCCGAGTAAATCCACTGGAAAGAAACCAGGAACACGTCAGCATCAGGGTTCCCACTCGCCTGAAGAAATCATTTTCTAGGACATTTTCCAGGAGTTTTTCTTGACAATAGAGGACAGGAGTTGCTCACAAATGGGCATGTAATCTACCAGCAGCAGTGGGCCTCGTATTGATGCATTTAACTCCGTTTTATTCCTTTTATTCCACCTAATTTACCTACTTTTCCGCTGTGTACTCTCCTGTAACCGTAACCTGACTTTAGCCACAGCACATGAGTAACAAATTAAGTATACTTACAGAAAATTAATCTTCCAACTATTAAAAGAAGTAGAAAGTGTTTGTTGCATGTACAATTAACATTGCTGTGCATGTTATTTATTAACCACAACAACAAGGCATTTTTCCACTGGGAAAAAACAAACTGAAAAGATCGCTGCAAGTTCGCAATCTGAGGCGTAGATCTGACAACATAGATTATTTCCAGGATATTTGGCCAATTTAATCAATTTCCAGCTGTTTCTATGAGTGGAAAACTAGGTTTTCCAGGATGCTTGGGAACCCTAAGTTTACATTCAGTTGGAGAGACACCTCCTCTGTTACAAAATCAGCTAAGCTAATTGCGTTAAAAGGCTGAAATTTCAATATAAACCTAATTAGATCTGCATCAATCAACATCAACACATCAGCAAAACATCAGATCGGCATAATTAATTTCTGGGGGGAGGAAATGATGACGGCTCTGCGCCTCCATTCGCTGTGGGATCAGTCAAGATAACTTGTGACAGGGGATCTTTTAATTATCACAGACCGGGGAGGAATAGAAACGGCGCCCTACGGTACCCTTCTGAGTGAGTTTCGTGGAGCAGGTGAGCGTGGCGATCTGGAAGCTGTCTTTGGTCACAGGAATCACTCCCGAATGGTGGAACTGCTTCCCCATTTGCTTCTCCTTCTCCTCCACTTCAGTCCAAGTCGCTGGCAAGGTGAGATAAACCTTTGCATCTTCTGCCTTTTTCACATCAACCTGAAAAAAATCATAAAACAGGGAATAAATCATGAAGCATATTGATCGACTGAGATCTAATTTCATATTTATTGATTGAGCAGAGACTCATGCATAATCCATCTACCCACTGTCAGCTATTCAAGACACCGGTTTTTGTGTAATTAAATAAAAAACAACCTCCTGCTTATTTCAAAGATAAGAGAAGTGAATTAAGTTTTTACAAATCCGCAATCCTGCCGCGGTACCTTATAGACGATAAGTTCGTGCCTGCCGTCAGCCAGCGTGGTCCCGTCTCCTCTCATGAGTCGGACGAAGGCCATACCGAAGGGCTTCTCCGATTTGTCCCTAGCTGAAGGAAGCACAGGAGCATAAAATGTATTTAACATGGCGGCAGGATTACACGTGGGCGTTTGTCATACAAATAGGGCGCAGTCACTCACAGTCCTGGGAGGATCGGTGCCGAAACATCACCCTCAGGTGACAGCGGCACACATCTTCAATGGGGATTGTCACCTTGCATGGGGGGGGAGAGAGTGGGTGTGAATACAGAATTATACCTATGGAAGATATCTGGTGGCAGATTTGTATGAGTAGCACATTCTGTGCCCATATCGTCCCTAGAAGATTACTGTATTGAGCTACCGTGAATCCATTTGAAAAACTAATTAGAGAACATGAGATATCGTGTTGGAAGCTGCACACTCGGGTTCTTGACATGAGCTTACCTTGACTGTTTCATTCCAACAAGGCTGCTTCACCTGGTAGTAAATGACAGACTTGTACTCTGTGATACCATCATAACCCGCTCCAGGAAATATCGCTTTCTATAGAAATTGAAGGGAGGAGATCGGTTAGCACGATAGGAGCTAAATAAATTTGCTATTTGATGTGCTTGCAATTAACTTTGACAGAAAAAAGGTCCCAAAATCACAGAAATACAAGACAATGTGAGCACAGTCACATAAACCTGATCAAAATAAGCTCTTTGAACCTGGTAAATGTTAAAATTATGCATGTACATATTAAAAATGCATTTAAATAATCAGGCTTTTATGTGAATTCATACAATATGTCCTTTGTATCTTTATTTTATTATTTAATCATTTAATTTTAATCTTTTATTTGATTTTATTTCAGCACTGCACTGCTTTTAATCTCTTTTTAATAGCATCTCTGATTACTGGTGTGTGTTTTTGGTTGCATTGTGTCTCCCTCATTTATTGCTTTTAATCTTTAAATTATTAGAATGCTTAAAAGCTTATAATGACAATGATAACACGCCGCTGTTTACCAGATAAAATGTTTAACAGCTCCCATATTAGCAGGGCGACCAGGTGTGCACAGCCTTTTTATCCCTCGTCCCGTGTCCCACATTTTGAGACAATGTCCCACATTTTGAACTCCAGTTTTTCTAAAAATTCTGGTGTTTCTCCACCGTCTGTGGAGAAAGCCAGGAAGGCTGTCAACATGGGGCTGTGCACACATGTGGGTCAAGTGCAGGTTAACCTGTCACCGTCTTCGCTACGCCCAACGGGGAAAACTGTGAGTCACCACAAAGTCACCAGCTATGCAGATTTAGGCGGAATATGATGGAAATGCGGCTTCAATAAAGAGTGGGAAACTACTTCTAACTGGGTGACAACCAGGGGATAAACTGACAAAATTCCTCCTGAGAGGGACGTGAGTGTGTACCAGGTTTTATCTCGTCCAACCACAAATATCAACCTCAAGGAAGAGCTGGAGGACCTTTCCTAAGCCCACGCCTTTTCGCTCTGTGCTCCAATAACAGTTGAGCAAACCTTGGTCAACATCCTCCTTTCCTATGAGTAGATATGCTACGTGCTAGGCTAATCTACAATGAAAAGACAACCACGCGTAGCATATCTAGGTACAGGAAAGGAGGAAGTTGACCAAGTCTTACTCAACTGTTATTGGAGGAGAGAGCAAAAAGGGGCGGGGCTTAGGAAGGGTCTTTGTTTGACCTGAATGGAATTGAACCTTAATTAGTATCACTGCTAACACCTGTATTTAACCTAATGTTTGGTGTCTGCCGCTTTATTTCAAGAGTTATAATAAGAAGATGTTAGCACAGTGAGTCCGTTTGTTGCAATCACAGGTGTGTTTTACCTCCACGGGATTGCCTTCGTCATCATGCACACTCAGTATGACCTCTACGTTTTTCGGGGTCTTCTTTTTACCGCGGTCGAACTCCCCCTGCAGCAAGGTCACGTAAATATCATTCCTCACGTTTCCTGGAGAAAGGACAACAGATGATCAGGTGATGTGCCGAGAATTTATGAACCCCCCCCTCACGCTTTTGTGAGCAATTATAATGTACACGGCCGTGGCGTATGTAGAGCAAATGCCCAGCAACAAAGACTTTAATCCACCTGGGAGGATGATTTCTGGAAAGCCCATTTTCCTGACGATAGCAGTGCTGCGGTCCACAAAGTGGGGGTAGTCCTTCCTGACTTGGGCGACATCCCCCGGGAGGAGCTTCAGGGTCACAAACAGCCCTGCCAGCAAACATGTAAAGAAATTCAATGAGGCGGAGAGCGAAAGGACACACCCCGTAGACCCCCTCACACATCATTTATTTCCCACAAAACAAAAAGGTCAATTTAAAGCAACCCTCTGCGATCCCAGGGGGAACGCGCTGTCTGTGAGCGCTTTATTTTACCCTGGCCTTTGTGATTGACCTCCCGCGTGGCAATGACTTTGTTGAAGACAGCAGTGAGCGGCTCGTTCTCTCCTATGACTCGAGACGGGATGAGCGGAGACATGATGAGCTGCCTCTGACGGATGTAGGTCTCCATAGCTATCCTGGGAGAGAAGCATCGGGACGAGAATAAGAAAAATCAGCTGCCAGCGACTCTGACAGGTGACAAACAAATGGACAGAGGAGCTGCAAAGGCGACGTGAGGCTTTCAGGAGCTCTTGACAAGATGCGCCATTATCCCTTCCCACACCCCACTTACCTCAAGTGACTACCACAGAGAAAACTAACACAGTGCTAGTGCAGGGTGCCAGTGCCATACACAGCTCTATAACACTGCTCGTGTGTGTATTTTAAAATACACAATTCAACACATTAGTAGCTAAAATTGTCGTGTTATTATAGTTGTTAGGTTGCACCTGTCAAATGAAAATCAGGATTCTTAAAACACTGCAATTCTCAAATGCACAGTTCAACACAGGAAATGTGTTTCTTGTTGCTTTGCAGAATTCAAATGAGTACAAATGTTTTGAATTGATCGAGGGCTTGATGACCCAATTGGATGATACTGCTTTTCTAATGAATTGTGTAACTCTCAGACGGGTAGAGATGTGCTAATCGTGTAAATCCCCACATGCAAAGAGTTTCGGCCAAACTCAAATGTTTCACTTTCACATCTTAATTAGCTTTTTTTTTATGACAACAAGAGGCTAAAACCTTGCTACTGGCTCTGGGAGGCTGGTGGTCATAATGTTCTGCAGCCCCAGACCAACAGACTGCTCTGCACTGTGTGTTCTGACCCCTTTCTATCAGAACCAGCATTGACTGTTTCAGCAGGTTGAGCTACAGTAGCTCGTCTGTTGGATCGGACCACACGGGTACTGATGGGTACTGACCACTGCACACCGGGAACACCCTACAAGAGACAATTTTTCCTGCTTCTACGTCTGATATATCCCCCCCACTGACAGGAGCCCTGATAATGAGATAATCAGTGTTATTCTCTTCACCTGTCAGTGCTCACAGTGTTAGGATTCTTCACTGTACAGTCTTTTATTAGCTTTCACTCTCTGTATTTTCTTTACATTGCTGTTACTGTGAGGAGGTTTCAGTGAATAGAGGTAAACACCGTTAGTTGAAACTGGCATTTGAGTTTTGATGAATACCATTCAGTTGGCTGCAGTGGATATTGGACATCACTGTTTGGCTCACTGTTACAGAAACAAAATGTCAGTGGACTTCAATGTAAGTTCCTTATCGACAGTCTGAGTTAAAGGGGTAGTTTGGATTTTTTGGAAGCAAGGTTGTAAGAGGTTCTTGTAGTCAGTGGATTATCTATAGTAGATGGCGGTTAGGAGTACCAGTACCGGAGCGACGCCCTGCTGTGGACGGGGGCAGCAATAACACGTATTTTAGCCACCTAAAAAGAATCAGTTTAAGTTTTTGTTATATTTTCACCACTTTACCCCACCGTTAGACAACATTTTCCGAGAAGGAACTGAAGCCATCATATCGCTCTCTTCACAAAAACCAGACTCCCTTTAAAAAAACAGCCATTTAAGCTTGCAGGACACAGCAGTTGCCCGTCTATTGTTGCCTCTGACGGCAGCACAGCCTCAATTAGTTCAGATCCAAAAGTGTTAAAAAACAGAAGTCACAGAGTAGCAGAAAGAAACTAACCAATCAAGGCAGTGATAGACCAGAAAAGCCCTGTGTTCTCCAAGGTAAAATTAAAGTTTTTGTCAAAGGAGTCTGGCGGCTTTGAGGAGATTGATATAACGGTGGCTAAAACACATATTCTTGCTGCCCCCGTCCACAGCTTAGCTTCTGTCCCGGTACCGCTGTCTGCTTCTCCAGCTGACCGCAGTCTATGTACACTGACTATGGATACGTACCTCATATAAACCCACTTCAAAGAAGCAGGACTAACGCTTTAAGCAGTGATAAAAGGATGTGTGATTTTGTGGGCAGTGATGAATCCACTGATATTTCCTTCTGACTCATGAGTTAATGTTTTGACGGCCTTTTGCAGGACAAATTAAGTGTTGTGCTAGATTGATATGGTAATTGGGAGCTGCAGGAGTGTTTTAGAAAAGGTGCAACTGAAAAAGACTGTATTAGTAGTTATTTCCAGCTTACAATTTTATACTTTTTCCATTGTTCATTGTAAAATTCATTTAGCCTGACCTTTTTGTTATTAATTTGTAATTATCCAGTTCATGATTACTAGTGGCATATAAGTCACTCAGTGTTAATGAAAAATAAATTAATTTGTCAAGGCTGGAAAGCTTGTTCTGTGGTACAATTTGTCTTTTGTAAGGAACACATTTGGAGGATATTGACGAGCAGAAAAACGTATATTGAGGAAACTTTTACTCACTTTACTTATGAAAAAAAACACAAATGTGCAAACACAAACTATGCTTCAGTCTGAATTAGTCCCTCCAGATACAAAACGTAAAAGAATTCTGTATCTCAGGTTAAAAAATGTCATAAAAATCCACATTTATTGTTTCAAATAATCATCCAGATGAGTCCTGACAAATTCTCTATTCAACAAAAGCATGTTTTTGTCTTTACCTCCTGAAGAAGACGGTTGAACTGTGACACAGCGAGAAGAGACAAATAGAGTAAAACCTTAGAAAATTTTTGGTTTAGATGTCGAGAATCAGTCGAGATATTTTTGGGGCTCCTCTATCTAGGATCCCTGTGAATCGTCCTCATCCCCCCATTGTGCAGGCGCTATGAAAACATGGCCTTGAAGGTCGTCTTTGAAGGCAGCAAAAAAAGTTTTCAAATTTGTCCTTGAAATGCAACATTGGAAAAGCTGAACTGCATCCTTGAGAAAGACGTGATGGAACACAGTAAGCAAACATAAGCCCTACTTCCAATTCTTCTCCATTATTTGTGCTCCATTGTGTGACATTACAAAACAAGACTGAGCCGGTTAACAGTGTGACAACAACATCAAAACACTCACTGCTGAAAAGGGATGAAGTGTTGTTTGTCCTCATCGTCTGTCTTGCCATGGGCGACGTCTGTAATGTCCATCACTGCAGTGGCACAGGGAACATCAGTGTGGTTGAGGATGCAGATGCAAGCCAGTTATTGCAAAAACAACAGCAAAGCAGGCAGTTTAAATAGTTTGGAAAGTGAATTTCCTCACTGCAACTTTGCAAACTGTATTTTCTACTTTTAAACAGAAGCAGAGCCAGGTGCTGGATCTCACTCACCTGTTGCCAGGTTGCCTGGCGTTGCAGACAGCCAGCATAGTAAAACAGACTGAGGGTTCTGCCTCTGAACTGTTGATTCCACGCAGCTCTTTTGTTTTTTGTTTTTTCTTCCAAGTTTTTTTTTTTTTCATGGCTAAAAATAATGTGACTTCTGAGTTGAACGCTCTTTCTGACTCTGGTTTCAGTCCATTTGCTGGAACTGCAGAGGAAACCATTCCTCATCAAATCCACTAATCATCTGGCCAAAAACAAAAAGACGGGTGCTAAACCAATTTCCACCGACTCCTTTGCCAAGGCAGAGTGGAGGCATTTTCTAGGTCATGAAGCAGGTGTTCCCATTTCATTTAGCACACAGATCTTTTATTTCTACACCTCGACAGAACTATTCAAGCAACTGCAGCAGCCAGAGCATTTTTTTGTTTGTTGAATTGACTTTTGTATAGCTCAAACAAATATCAGGAGCTCACCGGCCACGCCAAACGGCCTCCTCAGTCCTCCGGTGTGTTTCTTGCCCTCTTTGAGCTCCATGCTGCCCACTCTGATGATCTGACACACCAGGAAGAGCCGCTGCCTCATCAGGTCGCTGCTGCTCAGGTCCTGGACAGGAAGGACAAAGATGATTTAATATGGCATACCGAGTGATGAGGTGCATTACATAGAAAAGAAGGCTGGCAGTACGTATCACCATCCTGTTACTGTGTGCACTCGTATGGCTGGAGCTGCAGACCAGATGGCCAATATTACAGGATGAAAGCATGCAGCAAAACCCTCAAACATATCACCTTCCCAGCATCTTTAAGCGTTTATTTTTCTGGATGTTTTCAAGTCAAAGCAGTCTGGACTTTGAGAAAGTAAATATAAGCTTTGAGTCCTCATGAATCTGGTTTTATCACATTCTGAACCACTAATTCCTGGTGGCACACATTCCAATTAACACAATGAGTTGTTTGCGGGGGAAACTGCTGACTGTGTCATTAACATAAACAGTAGAATTATAACGGAGGCAAATGTATTCAGATTTGTGCCGTGAATGTGAGCCATTCAGAGAAACTTTCAGTAAATTAGGAACGTTCCAGGAACAAATTGTCTTTCTTTGTCAAAGATTTCAGGCAGCGTTTGGACTGCTTAAATCCGAAGCAGAGGGAATACAGTCAGTGGGTTGGGATTCAGTTACCGTGAATAGCGCTGGCAGGTTGTTGAGTTTTTCAATTTCTTTAGGCATCCCCATACTGTCCCAACGCACCAGGAAGTTCTCGCTGCATGAATTTAAATGGGAATCACAGTTAGATATCACATTGTCTAAGGCATCAGGAGAGATAGCAAAATACAAAAGCAACTAATGTAAAAACTCTGCATTATTGTATCTGTCTTACCACATGAAGTCCAAAGCAAATTCTATGATGATTGCATGTTTTGAATAGCAATAATCTAAGGGCTTATTTCTCCCTGCAGACCTGTCTCATAGGGGACATTTTGAAAGACACAGTGTAAAAAATTTCTGCTTGCTGGGTTCAAAAATTGAATTCTGCACCCTGCGAATCTTCAAAGAGTTTGACATTTTTTGGACCAACAGGCCAATGCGAGGAAAACCGTCAGTAACAGCAACTTAAACAGCTTGTTGGTCTCAACTGAAATCATCTGACAAAACACAGTGAACCCAAAATGACAAATAACCTCAGCTTGGTACTTAAAGCTGCAGTAGGTAACTTTTATGAAAATAACTTTTTGTCCTATTTGCTGAAATCTTCACTACATCCCGACAGCAGCACATGAGAGGGATAATCTGTGAAAAAATCTGGTTCCTCCGGCTCCTTTTTGTGCTCTTAATGGTATTTGCAAGAAACCACCGGGCCCAAACAAAAACCAATCAGAGCTGAGAAAGATATAAAGACGCTTTGGGTTGGAGGTTTGAAGATAGTTGATTGTTGAGTCTCATTCCCAGAGTCCCAACAAGTAGAGAGTATTTGTATTAGATGCCCTGGGAATGAGACTCAACAAATCAACTATCTTTGTTGACTGGTTGTTTTCGTTCAGGCCCGGTGGCTTCTTGTAAATGCCATTAGGAGCACTAGGAGGCGCCAGAGGGACCTGATTCTTTCACAGATTATCTGTCTCGTGTTCTACTGTCATGTCATATGACAAACATTAAGAGTTAGGAGAAAAAGTGAGGAGCAAACCTGATGAATTCAGACTGGTCGGGGTCATACAGAGACATGAGCAGTTCAGCATCTTCTCCGATGTTGCACACAAAGTTCTTGAGGTTCATGAGCAGGCTGTAGGTGTGCACTGTACTGAACAGGGTCTGACGCCTCATTTCCAGGTTTTGTAGCCGCGTCTGCAGAAAAAGCAGACAGGCAGTGCAGAGACACAGATGTTATTGAGATGGACTTCTACTGTGGGGAAAACGTGACTGTTATTATGAACTAGAGTTGTTCCGATACCAATACCACCATTTTTTCCCCGAGCATAGCGAATTCATGACCCGCCATTCTCTGACTCATAGTCAACTCAGAATGACAGCATGTTTTTTGTTCAGAAGGGCCCCATAGAAGTTCAGGGTGGCTGTCATGATGAAATTTCTTGATGGTGACTTTTAGAAACCCTAGATCATGCTGTATGCTCAAATGTAACATAATCTGCATGTAATTTCAAAATATATATTTTTTTTCAGATGAAGAATGAATAAGTAAGTTATTTTGAGTGTTAAAAAATATATATATTTAAGGCCACTTATTTAGGGGCATTCTTGTACATAATAATATTGTTTACTCTTTTGGTTTGAGTATACATTAAAGGCTACAGGATACGGTAAAAAGACTTATTTAGACAGATACTGCGATAGGATTCATGATTAGTGGGAATGTTCATTTTTGCATCACAAATTTAATTTTCATTGAAAAAAACTATTAACATAATGACTGTGTCATTCGTTGGGGTCTCTGCAGCCCTACAGTACTTCAGATTTGCGTCTGTGATTAATAGTTCAGCCCCGAACATGCATCATAACAAAAGGGATAACATAGCCCTAAGGCAAGGCTTGTAATTGGACTTGTATTTATACAGCGCTTTCTGGTCTATCGACCAATAAAATGGTGTTTTTCCACCAAATTAGCTCTGGTTCTTGAACCAATTCCGTGGGTGCTATCTAGTGAACCAGCCTGTGTTTCCACTGTAATTGTCATCAACAGGCTCTCTGTTGGTGTGGTGTTGTGTCAGTTGCACAATGCTCCTGTAGATTATGACATGCTCAATTTGGTTCCAGAGGAAAAGCTGCAATTTTTCAGGTTCGGAACCAGTTAATGTTTGGTTGAAATGCTCTGAAAGGTTTAAAGCTAGGTGCCTGAACCGGAACAGAGCTGGTTCCATGTTGGTGGAAAAGACCTAAAAGAGCTTTAAAACACTTGTTACAATCACACTGATCGGTATGATTCGGTACGCGGTATCGGTCAATAAGCAACGTTCGGGTGCCTGGAAGGAAGAAATGGTATCAGAACATTTCTATTCTGAACAAATCTTAATCCACCTTCTCTTCTTGTATCCTGTCATCCACACTGCGGGAAGCAGTCTCGTGCGCCCGGAACAGGCTGACCGTACTGGTCCGGTCAGGATCCAGCGTGTTTCCTGCTTCATCTCGCACCACCAGGTCCAACCCCAGAATCCTGGAGGATCAAACAGCATCCGTTCACAGAGACGCTCTCAGAGCCGTGACACACATATAACTTTACAGCTGTGTTTATTGCAGTGCAATAAGGAAGCAGGATTCATACCGGTTTCCATAATCAATCTTTGCTGTGACTTTCTTTTTGAGCTCCACAAGGTCATCCTTAGGCAGCGTTCCCGACACTATCTGAGATCGATATTCGATGAGGCTGTAGGCCATTTGCTGAACGCTCCTGAACAGGGTCGTTTTGTTCGCCTGTCAGACAAACATGGAAAAGTTCATAGCAAAGCATTCTTCACAGGTAGGAAAGAAAAGAAGAAAGTGGTGTGCAAGACTACTAGAAACAGAGGGTCTGATCCACACATACCACGAACAGCTTGTGCCATATCTGTGCCCATTCCCTCAGAGTAGCCCCGAGCTCCAGCACCAGGGGTAAATCTGCTGGAATAATTATTTCCTGCTGGCTACCGGCCACAAAACAAAAAGAAGAGAATAATAAGATATTGACAAAGCGGCTCATCACTCACAGATCATGTCATATACATTTGGACAGATGCGAGCACATTTCTATACAAGATAAATAGTTGGATGGTTTCCCTACACAGCCAAGAAAAGCATTACTGAATCCTCACTTATGATAATTACAAGTGCACTGCTGTGTTATTGGCAAATGACAAAGCAGGGCGGCAAACCAAAAGCAAAGTGGATTATCATCACGATATGTTTGCTGATGTGCGAGCTCACCCTATTCCCTCGACTGTAGCCTCCTTTAAGTGGATGTAGGAAGCTGGGAAAATGCCCTGAGGAAACAATGAAGTAATCAGTATATATACATCACAGCATTGGTTACGGGATAATGGAGTGCTAATGATGCCCTTACCTTCTGTGATTTATTGTGTAGCGTGTAGCCCCTGTACCAGCCTGAGGAAACATAAATTAATAGAGATACGTGTTACAGTGAGGGGGAGGCAGTGGACAAGACAGGGGTGATGATAGTCCACCCTGTCAGGAGGACAATGTGGTGGGCTCATTTACATTATTATGCATGGAATATTGAGTGCCGGTTAGTTCAGCATTTCACTGAGCTTCCTGTGCCAGCTTGCTTTAGAGCCGGGGAAAGAGGGATGTGTTGGGGCCTGTTGCAGCTCACTCACCTTCCAATTTCTCAAGTATGTGCACCGTGTCCCCCACCTGCAGACACAGCTCCTGCTCACCACTGGGATCATAATTGTAGATTGCTGAAGGACAAAGAAGGACAGTCTCATTATGGAGGAACGCACACAACATTTAACAAAAAAATAATAAAAAACAGTTAAAGAAAATAATTCGGCCGACAGTTTGACTGGCGAGTTTTGTTCCTCCTCAAGGTCCACTGGATCAAGAAAAACCCCAAATCCCTTTCCAATCACTCACTGCACAGAGGAGCGAACCTGCTTTTAAAAAAAGTTCTGGATCAGAGATTTGCAGAGCTTTCTCCCAGGAAAAGGAAACCAATTCACCCTCCTTGCCGCAGAACTTGGACGAGAAGGATCTCGATCTTTTGATTTATTCCTCATCTTGCTGCTCCCTCTAACAGCGGTTTGTGTGTTTGTGCAGCAGAACCGTGTGACTCAAACCTTTAAAGCATTTTGACGATTCTTAATTGAAATGGATGCCCTGAGGCTGCGTTAAACGTTGCAGTAAATGGGAATGTGCTGCAGCTGCTAGTTTCTGTGTCAAAAGTGAGGAGCAGGGCTAAAACGGCAAAGGCATCACATCCTCTGATATCATCGTAGCACTGCGGCCTTTGGTCAACAGTCACACTCTGCAGGTCCGGTGTCTGCCAGCTGGCTCACCTGCGAGCCCTGCCCCTGCCCCTGCCCACACACACTTTATTAACCTAACAGCTTTCCTGGAGGCGACTCCTGTCTTTCCTTTTGTAACTCCCTAACCAGGACACGTAAGGGAGGGATCACACAAGAATACTTGTGCGTACGCGAACACAGGCACATGCACGTACACGCACAAAACTGACAGACGTTGCAAAAGAGAAACCTTGGCAAACAATACTGTAGCAAAGGTCTTTGTCATGACTTGAGGGAGCTGCAATAGAGCGCAGCCACTCATTCTCTTAGTGAGACAGAGGAAGTATGAGCAGAGCTCTGCCCTGACTTGCATGGTGATAATGCTTGTTGCTGGAGGCTAGATTTCACAGCACGCTTCAACTGGCTCAGCTTATCACACCTCAGTCTGAATACCAAAACTTGACTTGACTGAATGTGACTACCCCTCTCTCTCCATGACTTCCTCCTTACGGATAGATTTTTCTAGCTTTTCCATAAAGACACATTTGCCCAGACAAACCACCTCCATAGGGAATCGGTTTCTAGTCTGCCTTTGTGTAACCAGCCCATGGCTTCTTAAAATATTAGGTTAGGCCCACGCTGGCTATGTTGTTAAAAAATCACCTGCAAAGGTTGGTATGAATGACGGCGTACTGTGAGATCCCTCATCCGCTCATCAAAAGGGAAAATAAGTACTGAAATCTTCTGAAACTCTGACACTTTCTTACTTTCTCACTTTATTTTTCTGCTTAAGTCAAAATTTGAATGTCCACACTATATTGATGAGCCAATGTTGGCTCAGAGCAGACATATTTTCCGGTACATACTGCAGAAAAAATGATGTGCTGAACCCAAATATTCAACTTTATGTTTGTTGAGTAGGTAGTAGGGTTTCAATTTTGGGAGTTTGATGTATGCACTAAAACTCTCTCACACTACAACAACTATTTTGGGAGATCATCCACAAATACCTCCAGATTAGAGGCAAATCAACATGTGTCTGTACAGAATGCAGATTATCTTTATGGATCATATTAATGCTGAATTGACAAGAAGACTGAGGGCAAATAACTCGTGTTTCTGGTTTCTCGTGTTTTTACAGACACATTAGGAATTATTAAAAAGTGATATTTCTCAAAGGGAGTTTGGTGCAGGGAGCTTTTAGTTAAATTCAAACCGATACACATTTTTAAAACATTTTGTCTCCACAACAGAAACACAAGGTAACTGCTAAAGTACGATAATGTTGTCTGCGGTTAAACTGCCGCTAGTCATTAGTTTGATTAATGCTCTAATAATGTGTGTATTGATTACTGACGCTGGCTGATCAGGCTGTTTCACTCAGTTTCTAATGGCAGTATGCTGTAAATGGTTGAGCAACTCCTTTCCTGCTTGCTATTAATGGTGTTATTAATGACTCCTGATGAAATATAGTTTGGCGAGCAGTCAGACTGGTGGTGGAAGATCTCGTAGTGTGTGACCCCCTGTTGCTGCTCATCAGCCTGGTAGTGTGAACATCCCGACAACGATTACAAGACAGTAAGTTGTGTAGTGTGAACTGTAGTGATCTGACCACTTCGAAAGTCATGTAGTGTGACCGAGGCTTTACTGCCCATCACTGCACACACACACACACACACACACACACACACACACACACACACACACCTCTTTCTGCTTCTCTCTCGCATTATCATACGAGAGGAGGCATACATCTCCATCTCTGTGCTTCTGCAGAGCATGTGCGTTTGTCAGTAGATCGGACGGGACGGGGATCGAAGTTAATCGATCTCGGATGAAGCCAAAAGAAATACATGTAGAAATACATGCAAAGCTTTCATTCAAGTTAGAAAACGCACTATTTCAGCCGCCATCGGTGAATTTCCCCCTTCTAACATTGATATAAAAATCCCATATTGGTTTTTACATGTTATAGAATATTTAACTCAAGCCTTCTGAGTACATTTGTAAAGTCATATCGATGCACAGTCCACATAGAAAGGGTCTTTTTTTCTATTATTTATAAAATGGAGAAATTTCTTTAAAGCTGCAAATAAGCAGAACATCTCTGAACCGTTTGTTCGTTCATGTTTTTTGTCTTTCTATATGTAAGTTTTATTTTGTTTTGTAATGTTCACTTACAGTTGATGTAGTAATGGAAGTCATTTCTGAAATACTCTCACAGCATTTTACAGACATTCCAGCTGTTGTTTGTGTCCACTCTCTCGCTGTTTGTGTTTTCTGTTTTTGGGGGAAAAACGGGACTGAAAGTTTCTCGGCGGTAAAGGTCAACTCACATCAGAAGGGAATTAAAGGACCAATTTCTGCCTCCATGTGTTGGGTTAGGAGCACTGTTCCTAATATGAACCCACTCTGATCCCAATCTCTTTAAGAAACATTTTCCAGGACATTTTTGTAGGAGTTTTCTTGCCAATACAGGACCACATTTCATATAATTTACCTCGTATTCATACATTTAACCCCAGTTTTATTCATTACATACATGACTTTGGCCACAGCCAATAAGTAACAGTTCAAATAAAGTAGAATTTGTTCTACTAAAAGAAGAAGTAGAAAGTGTTTGTTGCACATGCACAGCACATATACATCTCTGTACATATATTTATTAACCACAACAACAATTCTGCTCGCTGCTCCGGAAAAAATACAAACAATGTCAATAACATCGGTGCAAGTTCGTTCCAGGTTATCCTCCCAACAGTCCAGTTTCAAACATATATGTATTTTAAAATACAAGCATGCAAAATGAGCAGTTATCTTATCGGTATCGGCCATGAGAAGCAGGTAATTATCAGTTATCGTATCAACTGGAAGAAATCCTATCGAGCGTCGGTGAACAGTGATTTTCAACCTTAAAGTGCATCTATGCAACTTTTACTACGGCCAGAAATAACAATGCTAAAGACCAGATTCCAGACCAAGTATGGCGGCAAAACCCCCGAACGTACTGAACTGAGCGGGAGCGCTTTATTGCAAACAAATCAACTGTTCGTTGTAAGAGGAGATTGTTGTTATTTCTTCTTTTAAAAGTGAAAGTCTTGTTTTAATCCTTCGACTGATCCCAGATAACAACCAACCCACAATGTTCTGAACAGAAAGTTCCGGCCTTTAGAGCTAACACGCTGGCACGCTGTGTTGTTTTATTTAAAAAGAAGTCACTGACATACTGTGATTTCGCCCGAAAAGTATTTTGTTTTCAGCAGGAAATAATTTGTGCAGCCGGAACAATGTCGAATGAAACGTGCACTGAAGAAATGACATCTGCCTCTGGTCATGCCGAGAGTGACAATGGTCCATTCAGCGACTTGACACAGTGTCCGGGCCTGGCAACAGCCTGGCAATGCGCCAGTGGCAGGAGCCCAGTTGAGCGTGTTGTGATGCCACACTGTCTAAACTAAAGGCAACAGTCTGGGCCTTGGCAGCACAGCTCATCTGTACAACTCTGAGACACACTGTCTTCCTCTCAAAGTCGGACCACTGAGCCTGTAGCTGCTGTTCCTACATCCCAATAAGGCCTCTATATCTGTGTAGGTTCAAGTAACACACGCACACTCATTTTAAATCAAAGTCTGTTTGATTCAACCTAAATGATTTACCATAGGAGCGGATTAGAAAACAATTAAAGAACACTACCGCTGAGCAGTTTGAGCAGCTGCTGGCAGCTCAACAAACCTAACGCCATTCAGTGAGGATCTACTGTTCTCATCACCGAACGGGCGTGGAGGCAAGACATAAACAACTATTCCAACTTATAGCCAGTATAAAACTCAAATAAAAAGGAGTGGAAAACACACACACACACACACACACACACACACACACACACAGGAAAATGATGCAAGATAGAAGAGTCTAGCAACCAGTCACTGAACACACAATTGGACAGAAAATAGGTCCACTGACTTCATTCTGATTCTCAGCTGGAAAACCTTTCAATCTAATACATGAAAGAACTGAAATAATAAAGGCAGTAATGGGACAGACATAAGCCGTGCCGCACAAACAGACTCAGTTATCAGTTTTTCCTTGTACACTAGAGCTTGTAAGCAAAACATTTTACATGCAAGACGACTGAAAACATAAAAAATGACCATAAAACGTAAGTTGGGCGCAGTACTGTCTGAGGATAAACAACATTATTGTCATTTTAAGACCATTTTATGCCCCTGATATAATTAGATAAGCAAACACAAAGAGAACTTCAACCTCTCCTGACAGGTATTAAAACATATGTAGAAGGAGCTTAGAACAATAATGTTTGTCTGATATGCAAAAAAAAGGTTGAATTAAAATGCTTAAAAACTCATCTACTCCGTCTCATCATCATTAAATCACTACGTTAAGTTTTCCAGCTGGAAACAAGATGTCTCCTCCTCCACTGTCCATTCTCAGTG